TGCACAACTCATATAGCATGATTTTATCAAAGGACTTGAAGTATCTCACGACTCTCTAATTAGAAGGCTAAAGTATAACTTAGATGGTACATCTATAAGATAGATAAATTGTTGGCAAGAAGCCATCCATGGAAAGTCCTCATCGATGATTCCTTACTGAAGGTTTTATCTCAGGATTAATACATTTCAATATTTACATTAATGATACTGAAGTGGAGATGGAGAAATGCTTATCTGCAGATGACACAAACTGGATAGGATACTTAATTCTCTAGAAGACAGAACATTTAAAAATGATCTTCGAATGTTAGAGAAGTGGACTGGAAAAAATCAGAATAAAATTTAATACAGACAAATGTGAAGTTCTTCATTTAGGAAAAATTAATTAAACCTAGGGATACAGGACAGATAATAATTGGATGGAGATAATAGGTGTGAAAAGGACCTTGAAGTTGTAAACGCTTCACTACTTAAATATGAATCAGCAGTGTGATCTGGCTGGTAAAAGGCAAATGGACTTTTTTTTTTTGGCTACAACAACAGAATGTGAGTTTCCAAGTCACAGGATGACAATTTCACTATAAGTCTGCATTGGTCAGACCCCACTTCAAATATTATGCCTGCTTGCCCAGTTCTGCACAAAATCCCATAAAAAGGATTTGGATCAAATAAAACAGGTTGAGAGAAAGGTAATGGGGCTAAACAAGAGATAAGGTCTTACAAGAGAGATTGATGGCGAAAGTTGACCTTAGAAAAATTGAGAATATGAGAACATGATGCTCCACAGAAGATCAAGATTTATATTCTAGCATTCCAGACTTCGGAACACAGAATAATGTTAGGAAGTAAGGAGGATTCCAAAGTGAATGTTTCAAAGTGAAAGACCCTCCAACAGTACAAGCACTTTCATTAGATAATGCAACCAATTATCTATAATTATGATTGGCTCCCCATTGTATGTATTTAAGGCTAGATAGCCATAAGGCTGGCATCCCTGAACTGAGCACAGGTTTGGACACAAGCCATTAGGTTCAACTCTATGATTCTGTGGTTCCCTGAATTCTTCTGCAATCATGAATGTGATCTTTTTTAGCGATTCTATGTGATAATATTCAATGCAGTTTCAACTGAAGAAAGGCAAATTTGGAACCTGGTTATAGTGTTTTAAGATAAATGGATACTGTCAAAAGGGAAAATAAAATATTAAAGTCTAAACAGACTCTAGAAAATGAATTCCTGTAAGTATATTTTTGCATTAAAAAGGGAATGCTTTGTGGCCACATTTGTTTCTTGGCACTTCCCAAGAGGCTCCTTCTGTGGTATTTCATCTTCATTTAAACTGTCCTTTTCAAGATATCTATAAAATTTACTTTATCGAAGAGAAAGGATTTGATTGAATGCTTTAAAAAATGTAAAAGGAAAAGGGAAACTAAAGAGAAAAATCTAGCTTTTGGAATGTTTTTTCCCCACAATTTTGGTGAAGATATTTTGCATAGGTGCACTTTAACTACACTAGTAAATGAGGCTGAGATTTAAAGTGTAAATTTACTTTTAATCCCCTCTGGGAATATTCTTTTAACATCTGTTCCTGATCACTGCAACTTTTGTATATTTTGGGTTACAATAAGGGTACTGGGAACAATAGTTGTATATGTATTTTAATTCTTTTTAGCCACCTAAAATCACTTTGGTACAAAGGGTGGCCATATAGATGAATGGATGGATGGATGCTGTTGTGGTCCACCAGCAGCCTGTGGAGCTGGTAGCAGAGTTGGACAGTGAGGAGGCTGGGGAAGAACATGGGCCAGTCCTGGAGTCTGGGAAAGGCTCGGACGAGGGCTCTGCGTCGGAGACAGAGATGGGGCCAAGGCTATCTGAGAGTTATGCGCGGACTCCGGAGCCTCCAGAGTCGGACATCAGAGAGACAGAGGAACAGGAGGAGCCTGTTCTAGTGCACGCATGCATAGAGCTGGCAGAAGGCAAGAACAGTTAAAACTAAAGGGACGACTCGGGAGTAAGGCCTGGAGATGATTGGCCCCTCCTATAAGGCTTAAAAGAGGAGCAAAGGCACGTGGGCCCTTTGCAAGAAAGCAACATCGTTAATTCTGTTCCCAGTCGGCATCTCTGTTTGAGTCTGGACTCCGTATGGCTTTGCCAAGTAGGTCTTTGGCAGCGTGTCAAGGGAGATAAAGGTTGGTGATTATCCCGAAGGACTTTTTGCAACTAATTGGGACTCAGCTGTGAATGAACGTAATTCACAGCTGTTGCAACAAAAGAGGTTTTTGGGACTACCCGTGTGTTTTAATGACTCAGGAAGCCTAGGTCACAACAGATGCATGGATGGATGGACAGCTTGGCAACTAGATAGAAATAGTTTTAAAGGCAAATGTTCACCAAGATATCTTATCCTTCAGATATTTGTAACAGAGGAGAAACCCCCAGAAACATTAATCTCCATACAAACAGTAGAAATAATTACAAATTAATTCTCCATTGCTTTGTCAAACTTTCTACCAGATGTTAAGCAAAGTTCCATGAAAGGATAGAATGAAACTGGCTCTCTATGAGAGCAGTGAAAATAACCTCCTGTCAATATATTTACATCTCTTACTTCCTCAATAATATTTCACAAATTTCATATTGAATATAAAGGCTAAAAGGCAAAGAAATCAACTCATGGCTAATCATGTTAAAGATGATTGGCTGGTTTCTGTTTTCAGTGTTGATGAAAGTAACCCTTCAATTGCTTCTATTTTCTAACAACACGATTCACACAAACAGGGTATCTATCTAATGGGCTAAAGTACTGCAGCTGTGGTTTTAGATAGCATGTACCAAGCAGAACACTTGTGTAGTGTCATGTTCATTATAAACAGATGTACAGCTCCACATATATTGAACTCTGAAGGCCTAATTTAGAATATTCTAAGACAGGGATGTCAAACTTGCATTGTCATGTTGTTGTCACGTGACATATCATGACTTTCCCCCCTTTTGCTAAAATGGGGGTGGGCGTGGCAAGTGCGTGACACATCCGGCCCATGGTGTTAAATCACAGAGCATGGTTTAACACCCCTGCTCTAAGATCATAGACTACAGATTTTATCATTTTACCCAGTAAGCATTGATCAGTGATTGTAGTCCTTGCATCATTAAGATAACAGGCTGAGGGAGATTGCCAATCACAAATTCTATAAAGCTGTCTGTGAAAGATAAAATGCCTTCATTTCATGTAATGTATGACATTGCTTTAATTCAAAATCCCTAGTATTGCAATACTTAATACATATCACCTAAACTTAAGGAAATGGTCCTGTACTCTACTAAATAGGAGAGGTGTGTGTAATCATAATGATTTAAATGAGTAATTGTGCAGATTGTCAAATGTAGATATATAATAACTACTGAAATTTCAACAAGTAAATCCCCAGTCTTAAATAGTAGGGGCTCACATTTTAAACATGTCAACATTTTTTTTTCTTATAAAATAAGTGCAGGAATGTCACACTCCAACCTAAGAGCATTTCTCCAAAATCACCTTTCCCCTGAAATAACTTTTGAAAGCAAACACTCTTTGTCAACTTCAATAAGCCTCAGTAGAAGAATATACCGGAAATTTTTATTTTCTTGTTTTATTATGAATTTTATTTGACTATAAGCCTCTTTAGCTCTAACCAAGAACTTAAGAAATGCTTAAAGATTTAGTATAACAATATCTGGAAGGCACAAGTCCATGGAATTTGCCAAATTTTATATTCAGCAATTCAATAACAGTGCTCTCATTCAAATGTAATTCCTAACTATAATTTTATTGTGGTTACATTCACATGTAACACCTAAGCATAATCTCAGTCCCTTCTGCCTCTTTCCTTCCCAGTTGATTGGCAAGTAAAATAAAGGATTCATTTCTGCTAAGGCCCTGATTTGACATTTAACAGAATAACAGAGTTGGAAGGGACTTTGGAGGTTTTCTAGTCCTCCCTACTCAAACAAGAGACCCTTCACCATTTCAGACAAATTGTTGTCCAATCTCTTCTTAAAAACATCCAGTGGTGGGGCATCCACAACTTCTGGAGGCAAGCCATTCCACTGATAAATTGTTCTAACTGTTGGGAAATTTCTCTGTAATTCTAGTTTGGTCCTCCCCTTGATTAGTTTCTATCCATTGCTTCTTGTCCTGCCTTCAGGTGATTTGGAGAATAGCTTGACCCTCTCTTCTTTGTGGCAGCCCCTTAGATATTGGAACATTGTTATCAAGTCACTCCTAGTCTTTCTTTTCAATAAACTAGATATACCCAGTTCCTGTATATCCTACTTCACATACAGTGGGAAGTACAATCAACAATAAACTATCTGAAAACAAATTTGGGTTGATATTGGCTTTTTCAGTAATGAGATATTCTCTTAAACAATTGTTCTTGGCTTGCATATTATACCAGTCAGGAATCTTCTTGTCAGTTTCTGATTGATTGTTTATTCTGGTCATATGGATGAAAGGTTGAGATGATACCAAAGCTTAGCATGGGCTGTTTTCTGTTCATGAATGCAATGCTAATCAATGCAATATGCAAATGCAGCCAACATCATTCTTACTAAAGTTTTACTAGAGCCATAGCCAAAAGTAATTCTATTTTGAAAATTGTGGTACATTCTGCATAATTGGTTATTTGCTATTTCCCACAATTGAAATCCATACATTTGGTTTTCAAAGCTAGTTCATTCCAAATAATACTATAACATTTGTGAACATTTTTCACACTAGAAAATATTTTACCCTTGCACAACAAGGGGGCAACATTACAGGTAGGAGAGTTAGAAAATATATTACTTTGCTTGCAAAGCCAGGGCCGAACTGCACCTGAGCTTGTAAATATGAGCACTAGGAATAATGTCTAACAGACTGAAGAAAATATAATTGAAGAATTAAGGAGATCTTAGCATCCAGAATTTTTTTAAAAAAACAACAACAGATAAGTGATTTTTGAGAGGTTGATTCCTACCTCCCTCATTATCATCCTCCAGATTCTCAGACAGTTTGGCTTTGCATTTCACGGGTGAAGGAGAGTGACTTTTCTTCTCAGCTCCCTCTGCAAGTGCAAAAAAGGTCAGAAAGAGATGTTCAATCTCAAAAGCTGAGATTATAATGCTTGAAGTTGGATGATGATGAACATTATTACAATTATGAAATAGGAATGTGTAAGGTATTGGAAAAATAAATTGACTGCACCTCCATTTTGCTCCGGGAGAAAAATCACTATACTTTCAAGCTTTGTGAAGATTGATTTTTGCCGCCTGTGCTATTATCACAGTTAGGAAGAGCCCTAGGCTGAACCAGAATGCCATATTTCAAAAGTTATTAAACTGCACATATCAATAATTATATTCTCTCTTACTTTTAATCTACGTTATGCCTATACCATTGGATTATTATATGTATTTTTCAGTAATTACTTTATAAAGTATGGACTTTATTTGCTAAGCACTGTGAAATACATTCTGCCTTAAATGTATAATAGTACTGTCCGAATGTACAGAGTTTCAAAAACTTCAGCAGATTCTAGATGAGGGACAGTGACCTCAGTCTAGAATATCGAATCAGTTTACGGACTATATAACTATGCCTGATTTTTAGTAAAATATTGATAAGAATGAAAGAAAACACTATTTTCTCAGCTAACAGTGAGAAATCAATAATCTTGGGCAAATTTGTAACTCATCAGAATTGAGTTATGTCAAATTGTGCTGGACACTAGAATAAAAGCGAAGATAATAAATATACTGGATACATAATAGATTGATGAACAATCTATTATGGCTTCAGGGTGGAGTTCCATCAGTACGCTGACGACACCCAGCTATACATCTCCAACCCAGGCCACCCCAACGATGCCCTTGAAGTGATGTCCCAGTGCCTGGAGGCCGTGTGGGCCTGGATGAGGAGAAACAGGCTCCGACTCAACCCTTCCAAGACCGAGTGGCTGTGGCTTCCGGCGTCCCGATATAGCCAGCTGGTGCCATCGCTGACTATTGGGGGCGAATCCCTCGCCCCCACGGAAAGGGCTCGCAACTTGGGCGTCCTCCTGGATGCACGGCTGTCTTTAGAAGACCATTTGACGGCCGTGGCCAGGGGGGCTTTTTATCAGGTTCGCCTGATACACCAGTTGTGCCCCGTTCTAGATTGGGACTCCCTACGCATGGTCAATCAGGCACTCGACACCTCCCACCTGGACTACTGCAACGCTCTCTACATGGGGCTCCCTCTGGGGTGCACCCGGAGGCTCCAGCTGGTCCAGAATGCGGCCGCGCGGGGGATTATGGGAGCAACGGGGCACTCCCATGTGACACCTCTCCTGCGCGAGCTGCACTGGCTCCCGGTGGTCTTCCGGGTGCGCTTCAAGGTGTTGGTGACCACCTTTAAAGTGCTTCATGGCTTAGGGCCGGGGTATCTCAGTGCCTGGAGGCTTTGCGGATCTGGATGGGGAGGAACAGGCTCAAGCTCAACCCTTCCAAGACTGAGTGGCTGTGGCTCCCGGCATCCCGATATAGTCAGTTGACTCCATCACTGACTATTGGGGGCGAGTCCTTGGCCCCCACAGAAAGGGCTCGCAATCTGGGAGTCCTCCTGGATATGCAGCTGTCCTTGGAGGAACATCTGACGGCTGTAACCAGGGGGACCTTTTATCAGGTTCGCCTGATTTGCCAGTTGCGGCCCTTTCTTGATCGGGATTCCCTGTGCACAGTCACTCATGCCCTCGTCACCTCTCGCCTTGACTACTGCAATGCTCTCTACATGGGGCTCCCCTTGAGGGGCACCCGGAGGCTCCAGCTGGTCCAGAACGCAGCAGCGCGGGTAGTGATGGGAGCAGCATGGCGCTCCCATGTAACACCGCTCCTGCGCGAGCTGCACTGGCTCCCGGTGGTCTTCTGGGTGCACTTCAAGGTGTTGGTTATCACCTTTAAAGCGCTCCATGGCATAGGGCCTAGCTATCTTCGAGACCGCCTGCTGCTACCGCCGACCTCCCAGCGACCCGTGCGCTCCCACAGAGAGGGCCTCCTCAGGGTGCCATCAGCCAAACAATGTAGGCTGGTGACCTCCAGGGGGAGAGCCTTCTCTGTGGGGGCACCTACCCTCTGGAATCAGCTGCCCCCAGAGATAAGGAGAATCCAAGACCTCAGTGCCTTCCGCCATGCCCTTAAAACCCACTTTTTCCAGCAAGCCGGGCTGGCTTAGGAAGAAATTTTTTAAAATTTTTAAATGTTTAATTGGTTTGTGGTTTTTTAAATTTTGGGCCAAATTTATATAGATTTTAATTGTTTTTAATATTTGTATTTCATGTTTTTAATTCTGGCTGTGCACCGCCCTGAGTCCTCAGGGACTCAGTCCCTTATATACAGGGAGTATATAAATTGAAAATAAATAAATAAATAAATAAATAAATCTATGAGACCACCTTCTGCCACCAATAGCCTCCCACCGGCCAGTACGCTCGCACAGAGTGGGCCTCCTCAGGGTGCCGTCCGCCAGACAGTGTTGGCTGGCGACCCCCAGGGGGAGAGCCTTCTCTGTGGCAGCGCCCACCCTCTGGAACAACCTCCCCCCCAGAGATACGTATAATATCAGACCTCCGGATTTTTCGTCGGGCCCTGAAAACTTATTTATTTCAACTAGCCAGGCTGGCTTGATCCCACAGTTTTGGGTTAAATTTTAACTGATTTTAAATTGGGTTTGTTTTAAATTGAGGCCAAAAATATTTAATTATTTCAAACTGTTTTAAAATTTTGTATGTTTTGTTTTTATTTTGGCTGTTCACCGCCCTGAGTCCTATTGAAGAAGGGCGGTATACAAATTGAAACAAATAAAAAAAAAAATTAACACAAGATACTCACCTGACTCTGATAGTACAAAATATAGATAGATAGATAGATAGATAGATAGATAGATAGATAGATAGATAGATAGATAGATGATATAGGATTACAGCAAACTTTAAAAATGATGATTAAGGTTCATGTTCTAGAAAATTGAAGCATATATTATTCCTATTACTTAAAATGTAGATAATATAAAATATCATGCTAGACAATTCAATGCAATGTATTGTAACCCCAACTGACTATGGTAAGATTAATGTTCAAATAAATATGCATAGGATTACACAGTGAGAAATAATGTTTGGATTAAGAAAGAACAAAACAAGAGTTAAGAGAGATGGAGAGAGAGATGGAGAGACAGAGAAAGAGAATACAGGTGGAAAAAAACTATAGGAGTATCATACTTAGCAAACCTACAGGTTTTGCAAAATGCTGGCCTTATTAATAGGTAACAAAAGAAATGATAGAATATATGGAATCATCCTATGAGATTACAAGTTGTTTCAGAAATTAAAAATCTATCTAGTATTGTCATATATTTTCATGTATAATACTGTATTAACAGATGCTTCCCAAACTTCTAATTTCAATACAGAGTGCACTTCATAGATAAACAAATTAAAGTAATCAAATTAAGGGAACTTTCATTCCAGAGTAATTATTATTAGGATTGAGCTGTAAAATGTATTATTTGTGATGAGACTGGGAAACTCATTTATCACTAATTCCAGAAGCAAAAGAAGCCCTATTTGGAGTGCCAGTGCCGCCCATCTTGCAGCAAAAGGTGCTTGTTTTATGTTTTTGGGCATCATTAATGATAATAATGATAATAAGTGTATTGTCATTGTACATGTATACACAGTATACCCATACAATGAAATTAATTTAACACCCAAAGACCAGGTCCAACACACATAACAATCCCCAAACACACCCCCACCCACCACAAATTCCCCACCCCTAAACCACCCAAACATCCACACAACAGACCAAGTAATACTGTCCAACAGCTCACTGATGGTGGCCCTTTAGTTCATTGTTGAGTGCAATTATAGCTCTGGGATAAAAACTATTCAGAAAATGTGTGGTCCGAGTATTAATTTCTGTAATAAAACTGGAAGTGACCTAGATCTCTTAGAGTCTTTGGTCCTCATATTAACCAATCAGAAACCTGGCATCTCCTCTCTTTGGTGGGTTTTTTTTTTTTTTAAGGGAATAGTCTTTATTCTTGGGTTCATGGATCCAAAGTGGGAGAATTGAAAAGGGAATTTGCCTTCCCTATGAAATTTGACCAGGAGACTGGGTCACCTCAAAAAAGGATAAAGCCAAAAAAGCCACAGTGATAATGATGACCGCACGAAGATGTGGGTTCATTGATATGTGCTTTGGTTGTTCACATTTAGATTATTGCTGTAGTTTTCTGGCAGCTTTCCCAGTTCCTTTTCTCTGCACCTTCTATGTTATTCCCAACTTTTGCTGACCTGCATACAAAGGAGTACAATTCAAAAGGCTTTATTCAGGTTGAGCACCAGCAGCAGCAGTGGACAGGGTATGTATGCAGATGCATGCGCAGTCTCAAGCCGTCCTGAATTCCTGGCCAAACTTACAGGCAAATTCCTAATAAGCAAAGGTCAAAGCATCAGAGAGAAGTGTTGCCAGGTTAGAGTAGTAGCATCATTGTTAGATCAATGGTGGATCTGGGTCTACAATAAGTTTCCATAAACAGGTGTTCCCAACAAGGGATTGCTTGCTAGCAAAGGCTCTAAAACAGGACCAACAGGAACATGTTTGCCTTGCAAGGAGATACACAGACCTTTGCTCAGTCCTAGTTGCCTTAGGAGTGAAAGGATCAGACTCCTGTATCAAATCACTCATCTTCTGCTGTTTCCACCTGTTCCTCAGGCTCTGCAGTCTCTCCTTGCTGATCTCCAATGTAGACACAGGGTTCTCTGAAGTGTCCTCCTTGTAGATTCCTTAGAGTCAAAGCTGGCCCTGACACTGGCTTCCTGTTTGAATCAGAGCGCATTGCAAACTACCAATAGTTGTGTTCAGAGCCTTCCAATCACAACCCCTCCTGTATCCGCTCTTGTTTCTTCTTACAGTCCTGAGGGTTCCTTTCATTCCTTTGAGCAGTGTCTTCTTTCAATCCTTGGGCTGCTGGAGAGTTCTTCCTGCACTTTGGAATTGCCTTTTTCCTTCCATTGCCCTCTCTGAA